GGCACGAACATCGGGGCGGGCAAGGCCGTGGGCATCGTGGTGGCCACGGGCGTCAACACGGAGATCGGCAAGATCCGCGACGAGATGGCGGCCACGGAGCAGGACAAGACGCCGCTGCAGCAGAAGCTGGACGAGTTCGGCGAGCAGCTCTCCAAGGTCATCTCGCTCATCTGCGTCGCCGTCTGGGCCATCAACATCGGCCACTTCAACGACCCCGTGCACGGCGGCTCCTGGATCCGCGGCGCCATCTACTACTTCAAGATCGCCGTCGCCCTGGCCGTGGCCGCCATCCCCGAAGGTCTGCGGGGCCTTCTGGGCGCTTTCGGGGGGCTCCGGAGGAGGTTTGGGGTCGTTTGTGGGGTCTTGGAGAACATTCGTGGTGGTTCATGGGGTTTTGGAGAAGGTTCGTGGTGATTTATGGGGTCTTGGAGAACATTCGTGGTCATTTGTGGGGCTCCGGAGGAGGTTTGGGGTCGTTTGTGGGGTCTTGGAGAGCACTCATGGTGATTTATGGGGTCTTGGAGGAGGTTTGAGGTCACTTACGGGGTTCTGGAGAACATTCGTGGTGATTTATGGGGTTCTGGAGGAGGTTTGGGGTGGTTTGTGGGGTCTTGGAGAACATTCGTGGTCATTTGTGGGGCTCCGGAGGAGGTTTGGGGTCATTTGTGGGGTTCTGGAGAACATTCGTGGTCATTTGTGGGGCTCCGGAGGAGGTTTGGGGTCGTTTGTGGGGTCTTGGAGAACATTCGTGGTCATTTGTGGGGTTCCGGAGGAGGTTTGGGGTGGTTTGTGGGGTTCTGGAGAACATTCGTGGTCATTTGTGGGGTTCTGGAGGAGGTTTGAGGTGGTTTGTGGGGTTCTGGAGAACATTCGTGGTCATTTGTGGGGTTCCGGAGGAGGTTTGGGGTGGTTTGTGGGGTTCTGGAGAACATTCGTGGTCATTTGTGGGGTTCCGGAGGAGGTTTGGGGTGGTTTGTGGGGTTCTGGAGAACATTCGTGGTGGTTCATGGGGTTTTGGAGAAGGTTCGTGGTGATTTATGGGGTCTTGGAGGAGGTTTGAGGTCATCTGTGGGGTTCTGGAGAACATTCATGGTGGTTTATGGGGTTCTGGAGAAGGTTCATGGTGGTTTATGGGGTTCTGGAGAAGGTTCATGGTGGTTTATGGGGTTCTGGAGAAGGTTCGTGGTTATTTATGGGGTCTTGGAGAGCACTCATGGTGATTTATCGGGTCTTGGAGGAGGTTTGAGGTCACTTACGGGGTTCTCGAGAACATTCGTGGTGATTTATGGGGTTCTGGAGAAGGTTTGAGGTGGTTTATGGGGTCTTGGAGGACATTTGAGGTGGTTTGTGGGGTCTTGGAGGTCGTTCATGGTGATTTATGGGGTTCTGGAGGAGGTTTGAGGTCATCTATGGGGTCTTGGAGAACATTCGTGGTGGTTTATGGGGTTCTGGAGAACGTTTATGAAGATTTGTGGGGTTTTGGAGAAGGTCATGGTCATTTATGGGGTCTTTGGACCCTTCATGGTCATTTATGGAGTTCTAGAGAAGGTTCGTGGTCATTGATGGACCATCCGTGGTCACTTATGGACCATTCATGGTCATTTCTGGAGTTCTGGAGACCATCCGTGGTCATTCGTGGAGTTCTAGAGAAGGTTCGTGGTCATTGATGGACCCTCCATGGTCACTTATGGACCCTTCATGGTCATTTATGGAGTTCTGAAGACCACCCGTGGTCATTGATGGACCCTCCATGGTCACTTATGGACCCTTCATGGTCATTTATGGAGTTCTTGAGAAGGTTCGTGGTCATTGATGGACCATCCGTGGTCATTGATGGACCCTTCATGGTCATTTATGGAGTTCTTGAGAAGGTTCGTGGTCATTGATGGACCATCCGTGGTCATTGATGGACCATTCATGGTCATTTATGGAGTTCTAGAGAAGGTTCGTGGTCATTGATGGACCATCCGTGGTCACTTATGGACCATTCATGGTCATTTATGGAGTTCTAGAGAAGGTTCGTGGTCATTGATGGACCATCCGTGGTCATTGATGGACCATTCATGGTCATTTATGGAGTTCTAGAGAAGGTTCGTGGTCATTGATGGACCCTCCATGGTCACTTATGGACCATTCATGGTCATTTATGGAGTTCTAGAGAAGGTTCGTGGTCATTGATGGACCATCCATGGTCATTTATGGAGTTCTGGAGACCATCCGTGGTCATTCATGGACCATCCATGGTCACTTATGGACCCTTCATGGTCATTTATGGAGTTCTTGAGGAGGTTCGTGGTCATTGATGGACCATTCATGGTCATTTTTGAAGTTCTGGAGACCATCCATGGTCATTGATGGACCATCCATGGTCATTTATGGAGTTCTGGAGACCATCCGTGGTCATTCATGGACCATCCATGGTCATTTATGGAGTTCTGGAGACCATCCGTGGTCATTCATGGACCATCCATGGTCATTGATGGACCCTTCATGGTCATTTATGGAGTTCTGGAGACCATTTGTGGTCACTTATGGACCCTCCATGGTCATTCCTGAGGTCTCCAGATGCCCACCGGGCTCTGCAGCCCCCCCCGGCCCTGGTGGCCTTGGTGGCCCCGGTGACCCCGGGTGTCCCCCCAGGTCTCCCCGCCGTCATCACCACCTGCCTGGCGCTGGGCACGCGCCGCATGGCCAAGAAGAACGCGATCGTCCGCAGCCTGCCCTCGGTGGAGACCCTGGGCTGCACCTCGGTCATCTGCTCCGACAAGACCGGCACCCTGACCACCAACCAGATGTCCGTCTGCAAGGTGGGACCCGGGGAGCCCCAGGAGCTCCGGAAACTCCGTGGAGAACCCAGAAGTTCTTCTGGAGGACCTCAAAAACTCCATGGAAACATCAAAAGTTCTCCAGGAACCCCAAAAGTTCTTCTGGAGAACCTCAAAGTTCTTCTGGAGAACCTCAAGTTTTCCATGGAGAACCCAAAATTTCTCCTGATGAACCCAAAATTCCTCCAGGAACCTCAAAAATTCCATAGAAACCTCAAAAGTTCTTCTGGGGAACCCAAAATTTCTCCAAGAACCCCAAAATTCTTCTGGAGAACCTTAAAAATACCATGGAAACCCCAAAAGTTCTTCTGGAGAACCTCAAAAATTCCATGGAAACCTCAAAAGTTCTTCAGGAACCCCAAAAGTTCTTCTGCAGAACCTCAAAGTTCTCTAGGAGAACCCAAAATTCCTCCAGGAACCTCAAAGTTCTTCTGGAGAACCTCAAAATTTCCATGGAGACCTCAAAATTTCCATGAGATCCTAAAACTTTCATGGAGAACCTCGAAAAATTCCATGGAGAACCCAAAATTTCTCCAGGAACCTCAAAACTTCTTCTGGAGAACCTCAAAATTTCCATGGAGAACCCAAAATTCCTCCAGGAACGTCAAAACTTCTCCAGAAGAACCCAAAATTCCACTCAGGAACCCAAAAACTTCTCCAGGAGAACCCAAAATTCCTCTCAGGAATCTCAGGAGAACCCAAAATTCCTCCAGGAGAACCCAAAACTTCTCTAGGAGAACCTCAAAATTTCTTCTGGAGAACCTCAAAATTTCCATGGAGACCCCAAAATTTCTCCTGAGGAACCCAAAACTCCTCGAGGAGACCCCCAAAGGTCCCGGAGGAACCCCCGAGGAACCTCCGGTGTCCCCGTCTGTCCCCAGATGTTCATCATGGACAAGGTGGAGGGCGACGTCTGCTCCCTGAGCGAGTTCTCCATCACCGGCTCCACCTACGCGCCCGAGGGAGAAGTGTGAGTCCCAGAATGTCCCCAGGTGTCCTCAGGTGTCCCCAGGTGTCACCTGGAGGTCCTCAAAGCCACCCCAGGAGCTCCAGAGCTCCAGAACCTCCTCAGATGTCCTCAAAACCTTCTCAAAGGTCTTCAAATTCCACTCAAGGTCCCCAAATGTCTCCTTGAGGTTCTCAAATGTCACCTCGGGGTCACCAAAGCCACCCCAGGAGCTGCAGAGCTCCAGAACCTTCTTAGATGTCCTCAAAAGCTCCTCAGATGTCCTCAAAAGCTCCTCAGATGTCCTCAAAACCTTCTCAGATTTCATGCAAACCTTCTCAGAGGTCCTCCAATGTCACCTGAAGGTCCCCAGATGTCACCTTGGGGTCACCAATGTCTCCCGGTGTCCCCATGTCCATCTTGACCCTGATGTTCTCCATGACCCCGATGTTCTCCATGACCTTGATGTCCCTCAACGTTCTCCTGTCCCTCAACGTTCTCCTGTCCCTCAATGTCCTCCTGTTCCTCAACATTGTCCTTGGCCCCGATGTCCCCGATGTCCCCGAGGTCCCCATGGCCTCCATGACCCCTGGTGTCCATGGTGTCCATCCATGGTGTCCATCCATGGTGTCCATGGTGTCCATCCATGGTGTCCATCCATGGTGTCCATGGTGTCCATGGTGTCCATGGTGTCCATCCATGGTGTCCATCCATGGTGTCCATGGTGTCCATGGTGTCCATGGTGTCCATGATGTCCATGGTGTCCATCCATGGTGTCCATGATGTCCATGGTGTCCATCCATGGTGTCCATGGTGTCCATGGTGTCCATCCATGGTGTCCATCCATGGTGTCCATGGTGTCCATGGTGTCCATCCATGGTGTCCATGGTGTCCATGGTGTCCATGGTGTCCATGATGTCCATGGTGTCCATCCATGGTGTCCATGATGTCCATGGTGTCCGTCCATGGTGTCCATGGTGTCCCTGGTCTCCATCCATGGTGTCCATCCATGGTGTCCATGATGTCCATGGTGTCCATCCATGGTGTCCATGATGTCCATGGTGTCCATGGTGTCCCTGGTCTCCATCCATAGTGTCCATCCATGGTGTCCATCCATGGTGTCCATGGTGTCCATCCATGGTGTCCATGATGTCCATGGTGTCCATGGTGTCCATGGTCTCCATCCATGGTGACCCTGATGTCCATCCATGGTGTCCATGGTGACCCTGATGTCCATCCATGTTCTCCATGGTGTCCATGGTGACCCTGATGTCCATCCATGTTCTCCATGGTGTCCATGGTGACCCTGATGTCCATCCCTGATGTCCACGGTGTCCATCCATGGTGTCCACGGTGTCCATGGTGTCCATCCATGGTGTCCATGGTGTCCATGATGTCCATCCATGGTGTCCCTGGTCTCCATCCATGGTGACCCTGATGTCCATCCATGGTGTCCATCCATGGTGTCCATGATGTCCATGATGTCCATCCATGTTCTCCATGGTGTCCATGGTGACCCTGATGTCCATCCATGTTCTCCATGGTGTCCATGGTGACCATGATGTCCATCCATGTTCTCCATGGTGTCCATGGTGACCCTGATGTCCATCCATGTTCTCCATGGTGTCCATGGTGACCCTGATGTCCATCCATGTTCTCCACGGTGTCCATGGTGACCCTGATGTCCATCCATGTTCTCCATGGTGTCCATGGTGACCCTGATGTCCATCCATGTTCTCCACGGTGTCCATGGTGACCCTGATGTCCATCCATGTTCTCCATGGTGTCCATGGTGACCCTGATGTCCATCCATGTTCTCCATGGTGTCCATGGTGACCCTGGTGACCATCCCTGATGTCCATCCTGGTGTCCCCAGGCTGAAGCAGGACCGCCCGGTCAAGGCGGGTCAGTTCGATGGCCTGGTGGAGCTGGCCACCATCTGCGCGCTCTGCAACGACTCCTCGCTGGACTACAACGAGGTGAGCGCGGCCGTGTCCTCTGCTGCCACCGGCCACCAACAGTGTCCTCTGCTGGCACCTGGGCCACCAACAGTGTCCTCTGCTGGCCACCCATCCCACCTGGGCCACCAACAGTGTCCTCTGCTGTCACCTGGGCCACCCCACCCATCCCACCCATCCCACCAACAGTGTCCTCTGCTGCCACCGGCCACCAACAGTGTCCTCTGCTGGCACCTGGGCCACCAACAGTGTCCTCTGCTGGACACCCATCCCACCTGTCCCACCAACAGTGTCCTCTGCTGCCACCGGCCACCAACAGTGTCCTCTGCTGCCACCGGCCACCCCACCCATCCCACCCATCCCACCAACAGTGTCCTCTGCTGGCCACCCATCCCACCAACAGTGTCCTCTGCTGCCACCGGCCACCAACAGTGTCCTCTGCTGCCACCGGCCACCCCACCCATCCCACCCATCCCACCAACAGTGTCCTCTGCTGGCACCGGCCACCAACAGTGTCCTCTGCTGGCACCGGCCACCCCACCCATCCCACCCATCCCACCAACAGTGTCCTCTGCTGGCACCTGTCCCACCAACAGTGTCCTCTGCTGGCACCTGTCCCACCAACAGTGTCCTCTGCTGGCCACCCATCCCACCAACAGTGTCCTCTGCTGGCCACCCATCCCACCAACAGTGTCCTCTGCTGCCACCGGCCACCAACAGTGTCCTCTGCTGCCACCGGCCACCCCACCCATCCCACCCATCCCACCAACAGTGTCCTCTGCTGGCACCTGTCCCACCAACAGTGTCCTCTGCTGGCACCTGTCCCACCAACAGTGTCCTCTGCTGGCCACCCATCCCACCAACAGTGTCCTCTGCTGGCCACCCATCCCACCAACAGTGTCCTCTGCTGCCACCGGCCACCAACAGTGTCCTCTGCTGCCACCGGCCACCCCACCCATCCCACCCATCCCACCAACAGTGTCCTCTGCTGGCCACCCATCCCACCAACAGTGTCCTCTGCTGCCACCGGCCACCAACAGTGTCCTCTGCTGGCACCTGTCCCACCAACAGTGTCCTCTGCTGGCACCCATCCCACCAACAGTGTCCTCTGCTGGCACCTGGGCCACCAACAGTGTCCTCTGCTGGCACCGGCCACCAACAGTGTCCTCTGCTGGCACCTGGGCCACCAACAGTGTCCTCTGCTGGCACCGGCCACCAACAGTGTCCTCTGCTGGCACCGGCCACCCCACCCATCCCACCCGTCCCACCAACAGTGTCCTCTGCTGGCACCTGTCCCACCAACAGTGTCCTCTGCTGGACACCCATCCCACCCATCCCACCAACAGTGTCCTCTGCTGGCACCTGTCCCACCTGTCCCACCAACAGTGTCCTCTGCTGGCACCTGTCCCACCAACAGTGTCCTCTGCTGGACACCTGGCCCATCCCACCGCTCCCATCCCACCCGTCCCACCTGGGCCATCTCCTGTCCCACCTTGGTCATCTGGGTCATCTCCTGTCCACCTGTCCCAACCCACCCGTCCCACCTGGGTCACGTCCTGGTGTCCCCATCTGGTGATCTGCTGGTGTCTCCAACCCACCCGTCCCACCTGGGCCACCCTGGTGTCCTCAGCGCCCCCAGATGTCCCCACCCGTCCCACCTGGGTGACCTCCTGGTGACCCCATCCCACCTGTGCCACCTGTCCCACCTGGGCCATCTCCTGGCGTCCCCTCAGGCCGAAGGGGTCCATGAGAAGGTGGGTGAGGCCACCAGGACCTCATTGTCCTCTCCTGGTGTCCCCATTGTCCCCTCAGGCCAAGGGTGTCTATGAGAAGGTGGGCGAGGCCACCGAGACGGCGCTGACGTGCCTGGTGGAGAAGATGAACGTGTTCAACACGGACGTGAGGAACCTCAGCAAGGTGGAGAGGGCCAACGCCTGCAACGCCGTGAGTGACCGGGGACACCTGGGCAACCTCCCGGAGAACCTGGCCCACCTGGCCCACCACCCGGGGAACCCGGGGAACCTGCCCAAACCTCGGTTCCTCCTGAGGAACCTTCTCCAACCTCCATCCCACCACTCCAAACCTGCCCAAACCTTCTCCAAACCTGCCCAAACCTCGGTTCCTCCTGAGGAACCTTCTCCAACCTCCATCCCACCACCCCAAACCTGCCCAAACCTCGGTTCCTCCTGAGGAACCTTCTCCAACCTCCATCCCACCTCCCCAGACCTGCCCAAACCTTCTCCAAACCTGCCCAAACCTCGGTTCCCCCTGAGGAACCTTCTCCAACCTCCATCCCACCACCCCAAACCTGCCCAAACCTTCTCCAAACCTGCCCAAACCTTGGTTCCACCTGAGGAACCTTCTCCAACCTCCATCCCACCACTCCAAACCTGCCCAAACCTTCTCCAAACCTGCCCAAACCTTGGTTCCTCCTGAGGAACCTTCTCCAACCTCCATCCCACCTCCCCAAACCTGCCCAAACCTTCTCCAAACCTGCCCAAACCTCGGTTCCTCCTGAGGAACCTTCTCCAACCTCCATCCCACCACCCCAAACCTGCCCAAACCTTCTCCAACCTTGGTCCCACCACCCCATGACCACGTCCCACCACCCTAAACCTTCTCCAACATCGGTCCCACCACCCCAAACCTTCTCCAACCTTCTCCAACCAGGATCCCACCACCTCAAACCTTGGTCCCACCACCCCAGACCTTCTCCAAACCTTCTCCAAAACTTGGTCCCACCAACCAGAACCCTCTCCAACCTTCTCCAAACCTTCTCCAAACCTTCTCCACCCTGGTCCCACCAACCAGAACCTTCCCAACCTTCTCCAAACCTTCCCCAAACCTTCTCCACCCTGGTCCCACCACGCCATGACCATGTCCCACCACCCCAGACCTTCTCCAAACCTTCTCCAAACCTTCTCCACCCTGGTCCCACCAACCAGAACCTTCCCAACCTTCTCCAAACCTTCCCCAAACCTTCTCCACCCTGGGTCCCACCATGCCATGACCATGTCCCACCACCCCAGACCTTCTCCAAACCTTGGTCCCACCACCCAAAACCTTGGTTCCACCACCCCAGACCTTCTCCAAACCTTCTCCACCCCGGTCCCACCACCCCAAACCTTCTCCAACCTGGGTCCCACCACCCCAGACCTTCTCCAAACCTTCTCCAAAACTTGGTCCCACCAACCAGAACCTTCTCCAACCTTCTTCAAACCTTCTCCAAACCTTCTCCACCCTGGGTCCCACCACCCCATGACCATGTCCCAGCACCCCAGACCTTCTCCAGACCTTCTCCAAACCTTCTCCAGACCTTCTCCAAACCTTCTCCCCCCGGTCCCACCACCATGGTCCCCCGTGCCCAGGTGATCAAGCAGCTGATGAAGAAGGAGTTCACGCTGGAGTTCTCCAGGGACAGGAAGTCCATGTCGGTCTTCTGCTCCCCGGCCAAGGCCTCGCGCGCCGCCGTGGGCAACAAGATGTTCGTCAAGGTGGGTCCACCGGGCCGGGACCTTCTCCAGACCTGGTCCCACCGGGCCGGGACCTTCTCCAACCTTCTCCAGCCTCGGTCCCACCACGCCAAACCTTCTCCAAACCTTGGTCCCACCACCCCAAACCTTCTCAAACCTTCTCAAAACCTCCTCAAACCTTCTCAAACCTCGGTCCCACCACCTCATGACCACCCCAAACCTTCTCCAAACCTTCTCCAAACCTTGTCCAAACCTTCTCCAAACCTTCTCCAACCTTCTCCCCCCTTGGTCCCACCACCCCAGGGTGCCCCCGAGGGCGTCATTGACCACTGTAACTCCACCTCACCACACCAAACCTTCTCCAAACCTTCTCAGACCTTCTCAGAACCTTCTCCAACCTTCTCAAACCTTCTCAAATTTTGGTCCCACCGCCCCAAACCTTCTCCAACCATCTCCACCCTGGATGTCCCACCCGCAGGGTGCCCCCGAGGGCGTCATCGAGCGCTGTAACTCCATCCCACCACCCCAGGACCATGACCCACCACCCTGAACCTTCTCAAACCTCGGTCCCACCACCCCAAACCTTCTCAAACCTTCTCAAACCTGGTTCCCACCACCTGAAACCTTCTCCAAACCTCGGTCCCACCACCCCAAACCTTCTCAAACCTTCTTTAAACCTCCTGAAACCTTCTGCAAACCTCGGTCCCACCACCCCAAACCTTCTCAAACCTTCTTTAAACCTCCTCAAACCTTCTCAAAACCTCGGTCCCACCACCCCAAACCTTCTCAAACCTTCTCAAACCTGGTTCCCACCACCTGAAACCTTCTCCAAACCTCGGTCCCACCACCCCAAACCTTCTCCAACCTTCTTTAAACCTCCTCAAACCTTCTCAAACCTCGGTCCCACCACCCCAAACCTTCTCAAACCTTCTCAAACCTGGTTCCCACCACCTGAAACCTTCTGCAAACCTCGGTCCCACCACCCCAAACCTTCTCCAACCTTCTTTAAACCTCCTCAAACCTTCTGCAAACCTCGGTCCCACCACCCCAAACCTTCTCCAACCTTCTTTAAACCTCCTCAAACCTTCTCCAAACCTCGGTCCCACCACCCCAAACCTTCTCAAACCTTCTCAAACCTGGTTCCCACCACCTGAAACCTTCTGCAAACCTCGGTCCCACCACCCCCAAACCTTCTCCAACCTTCTTTAAACCTCCTCAAACCTTCTGCAAACCTCGGTCCCACCACCCCAAACCTTCTCCAACCTTCTTTAAACCTCCTCAAACCTTCTCCAAACCTCGGTCCCACCACCCCAAACCTTCTCAAACCTTCTCAAACCTGGTTCCCACCACCTGAAACCTTCTGCAAACCTCGGTCCCACCACCCCAAACCTTCTCCAACCTTCTTTAAACCTCCTCAAACCTTCTCAAACCTCGGTCCCACCACCCCAAACCTTCTCCAACCTTCTCAAACCTGGTTCCCACCACCTGAAACCTTCTCCAAACCTCGGTCCCACCACCCCAAACCTTCTCAAACCTTCTTTAAACCTCCTCAAACCTTCTCAAACCTTCTTTAAACCTCCTCAAACCTTCTCAAACCTCGGTCCCACCACCCCAAACCTTCTCCAACCTTCTTTAAACCTCCTCAAACCTTCTCCAAACCTCAGTCCCACCACCCCAAACCTTCTCCAACCTTCTCCGAACCTTCTCCAACCATCTCCGAACCTCGATGTCCCGCGGCAGGGTGCCCCCGAGGGCGTCATCGACCGCTGTAACTACGTGCGCGTGGGCACCGCGCGGGTGCCGCTGACGCCGGCGGTGAAGGAGAAGATCCAGGCGGTGATCAGGGAGTGGGGCACGGGCAGGGACACCCTGCGCTGCCTGGCCCTGGCCACGCGCGACACCCCGCCCAAGAAGGAGGAGATGGCCCTCGAGGACTCCTCCAAGTTCGCCGAGTACGAGGTCGGTGCCGCCGGGGGGTCCGAGGGGTGGTGGGACCTCGGAATGGGTGGTGGGACCTTGGTTTGGGTGGTGGGACCTCGTTATGGGTGGTGGGACCTCGGAATGGGTGGTGGGACCTCGGAATGGGTGGTGGGACCTTGGTTTGGGTGGTGGGACCTTGGTTTGGGTGGTGGGACCTTGGTTTGGGTGGTGGGACCTCGTTATGGGTGGTGGGACATCAGTTATGGGTGGTGGGACCTCGTTATGGGTGGTGGGACCTTGGTTTGGGTGGTGGGACCTTGGTTTGGGTGGTGGGACCTTGGTTTGGGTGGTGGGAGCTTGGTTTGGGTGGTGGGACATCGTTATGGGTGGTGGGACCTCGGAATGGGTGGTGGGACATCGTTATGGGTGGTGGGACATCGTTATGGGTGGTGGGACCTTGGTTTGGGTGGTAGGACCTTGGTTTGGGTGGTGGGACCTCGTTATGGGTGGTGGGACATCGTAATGGGTGGTGGGACCTCGTTATGGGTGGTGGGAACCTTGTAATGGGTGATGGGACATCGTTATGGGATGATAGGATCTCACTATGGGTGGTGGGATCTCAAAATGGGTGGTGAAACATCGTTATGGGTGGTGGGACCTTGGTTTGGGTGGTGGGACATCGTTATGGGTGGTGGGATCTCATAACAGGTGGTGGGACATCAGTTATGGGTGGTGGGACCGAGGTTGGAGATGGTTTGAGAAGGTTCGGGATGGTGGGACTGAGTCTTGAGCAGGGTTTGGGTGGTGGGACCTCGTTATGGAATGGTAGGATCTCGTTATGGGTGGTGGGACATCGTAATGGGTGGTGGGACTTCATTATGGGTGGTGGGACCTCGTTATGGGTGGTGGGACATCGTTATGGGTGGTAGAACCTCATTTTGGGTGGTGGGACTTCGTTTTGGAGGGTTCTTGGTTCTGTAGGAACCTCAGGAACCTTCTCAGGAACCTGCAGGAGATGCCAAAGTTGGGGTTTGGGGTGGTGGGACATCGTTATGGGTGGTGAGACCAGGTTATGGGTGGTGGGACCTGGGTTTGGGGGGTGGGGCCTTCTCCAAACCCCCATTTTTGATGGTCCCTGGTCCACCATGATCTCCAAAACCCCATTTTTGGAGATGCCCGGTCCACCACGATCATCAAAATTCCATTTTTGGAGGTCCCTGGCTCTCCAAACCCCATTTTTAGTGGTCCCACCACCTCCAAACTCCATTTTTTTGGGTTCCTGTTCCTTGGTGGCCTCCAAAACTCCATTCTGGTGGTTCCTTCTCCTCCACCACCTCCAAACCCCATTTTTGGTGGTCTCATGACCTCCAAACCCCGTTTTTGGAGATCCCTGGTCCACCTCCAAACCCCGTTTCTGGTGGTTCCTTCTCCACCACCACCTCCAAACCCCATTTTTGGAGATCCCTGGTCCACCACCACCTCCAAACCCCGTGTTTGGAGATCCCTGGTCCACCACCACCTCCAAACCCCATTTTTGGAGATCCCTGGTCCACCACCACCTCCAAACCCCGTTTTTGGAGATCCCTGGTCCACCACCACCTCCAAACCCCGTTTTTGGAGATCCCTGGTCCACCACCACCTCCAAACCCCGTTTTTGGAGATCCCTGGTCCACCACCACCTCCAAACCCCGTGTTTGGAGATCCCTGGTCCACCACCACCTCCAAACCCCGTTTTTGGAGATCCCTGGTCCACCACCACCTCCAAACCCCGTTTTTGGAGATCCCTGGTCCACCACCACCTCCAAACCCCGTTTTTGGAGATCCCTGGTCCACCACCACCACCAAACCCCATTTTTGGAGATCCCTGGTCCACCACCACCTCCAAACCCCATTTTTGGAGATCCCTGGTCCACCACCACCTCCAAACCCCGTTTTTGGAGATCCCTGGTCCACCACCACCACCAAACCCCGTTTTTGGAGGTCCCTGGTCCACCACCACCTCCAAACCCCGTTTTTGGAGATCCCTGGTCCACCACCACCTCCAAACCCCGTGTTTGGAGATCCCTGGTCCACCACCACCTCCAAACCCCGTTTTTGGAGATCCCTGGTCCACCACCACCTCCAAACCCCGTTTTTGGAGATCCCTGGTCCACCACCACCTCCAAACCCCGTTTTTGGAGATCCCTGGTCCACCACCACCTCCAAACCCCGTTTTTGGAGATCCCTGGTCCACCACCACCTCCAAACCCCGCTTCCGGCCGTTCCTTCTCCGCCCGCCGCCGTCTCCTGACCGTCCCACCACCTCCGCCCCGCCCCACCAGACGGACCTGACCTTCGTGGGCTGCGTGGGCATGCTGGACCCGCCGCGCAAGGAGGTGATGGGCTCCATCCGGCTGTGCCGCGACGCCGGCATCCGCGTCATCATGATCACCGGCGACAACAAGGGCACGGCCATCGCCATCTGCCGCCGCATCGGCATCTTCTCCGAGGACGAGGAGGTCTCGGGCCGCGCCTACACCGGCCGCGAGTTCGACGACCTGCCGCTGTCCGAGCAGCGCGAGGCGTGCCGGCGCGCCTGCTGCTTCGCCCGCGTCGAGCCCACCCACAAGTCCAAGATCGTCGAGTTCCTGCAGTCCTTCGACGAGATCACCGCCATGGTGAGGGGGAGAAAGCGCTGCTGGACGTGGCTATGGAGGCCCACCATGGATCTGAGGGGGTTTCATGGGGGTTCGAGTGGGTTTGAGTGGGTTTTGAGGTGGTTATGGAGGTCCGCCAGGGGTTTGAGATGGTTTGAGTGGGTTTTGAGGTGGTTATGGAGGTCTATCAGGGGTTTGAGACCAGAAGTTCTTGATGGACGTGGCTATGGAGGTCCACCACGGGTTTGAGATGGTTTGAGGGCGGTTTGTGGAGGTTTGAGTGGGTTTTGAGGTGGTTATGGAGGTCCACCAGGGGTTTGAGATGGTTTGAGTGGGTTTTGAGGTGGTTATGGAGGTCTATCAGGGGTTTGAGACCAGAAGTTCTTGATGGACGTGGCTATGGAGGTCCACCACGGGTTTGAGATGGTTTGAGGGCGGTTTGTGGAGGTTTGAGTGGGTTTTGAGGTGGTTATGGAGGTCCACCAGGGGTTTGAGATGGTTTGAGTGGGTTTTGAGGTGGTTATGGAGGTCTATCAGGGGTTTGAGACCAGAAGTTCTTGATGGACGTGGTTATGGAGGTCTACCAGGGGTTTGAGATGGTTTGAGGGGGGTTTGTGGAGGTTTGAGTGGGTTTTGAGGTGGTTATGGAGGTCTGCCAGGGGTTTGAGATCTAAAGTTCGTGATGGACGTGGTTATGGAGGTCCACCATGGGATCTGAGGGGGTTTTATAGGGATTAGAGTGGGTTTGAGTGCGTTTGGAGGTCGTTATGGAGGTCTACCATGGATCTGAGTAGGTTTGGGGTCGAAACCTTCCTGATGGACGTGGTTATGGAGGTCTACCAGGGGTTTGAGATGGTTTGAGGGGGGTTTGTGGAAGTTTGAGGGAATTTTGAGATCGTTATGGAGGTCTACCACGGATCTGAGCAGGTTTAGGGTGGATAGGTACTTGGTGGATGTGGCTATGGAGGTCCACCATGGGTTTGTGGGGGTTTGGAGGGGCGTGCCGGCGCACCTGCTGCTTCGCCAGCGTCGAGCCCACCCACAAGTCCAAGATCGTCGAGTTCCTGCAGTCCTTCGACGAGATCACCGCCATGGTGAGGGGGAGAAAGCGCTGCTGGACGTGGCTATGGAGGCCCACCATGGATCTGAGGGGGTTTCATGGGGGTTCGAGTGGGTTTGAGTGGGTTTTGAGGTGGTTATGGAGGTCTATCAGGGGTTTGAGACCAGAAGTTCTTGATGGACGTGGCTATGGAGGCCCACCACGGGTTTGAGATGGTTTGAGGGGGGTTTGTGGAGGTTTGAGTGGGTTTTGAGGTGGTTATGGAGGCCCACCATGGGTTTATGAGTGTTTGGTGGTCAACCGTAGTTGATTGAAGCAGGTTCCAGCACCAACTTTTGACGTAGTTATGGAGTCCCACCAACTTTTGATGTAGTTTTGAGGTTCTAACACCAACTTTTGATGTAGTTATGGAGTCCCATCACCAATTTCACGTAATTTAGGCTGCAACCATGAACTTTTGACGTAGTTATGGATTCCCACCAACTTTTGACGTAGTTTTGAGGTTCTAACACCAACTTTTGATGTAGTTATGGAGTTCCACCAACTTTAGATGTAGTTTTGAGGTTCTAACCCTAACTTTTGACGTAGTTATGGAGTCCCACCATCATTTTTTGACGTAGTTATGGATTCCCACCAACTTTTGACGTAGTTATGGAGCCCCACCAACCCTTGACATAGTTTTGAGGTTCTAACACCAACTTTTGACATAGTTATGGAGTCCCACCATGAACTTTTGACGTAGTTATGGAGTCCCACCACCAATTTTTCATGTAGTTATGGATTCCCATAATTTTTTGACGTAGTTATGGAGTCCCACCAACTTTTGACGTAGTTATGGAGTCCCACCACTAACTTTTGACATAGCTTTGAGGTTCCAACACCAACTTTTGACGTAGTTATGGAGTCCCACCATCATTTTTTGACGTAGCTATGGATTCCCACCAACTTCTGACGTGGTTTTGGAGTCCCAGCACCCACCCGACCCCACCCCACCTCTCACCCACCCCCTCCCGTCCCTCCCCCCAGACCGGCGACGGCGTGAACGACGCGCCGGCGCTGAAGAAGGCCGAGATCGGCATCGCCATGGGCTCGGGCACGGCTGTGGCCAAGACGGCCTCGGAGATGGTCCTGGCCGACGACAACTTCTCCACCATCGTGGCGGCGGTGGAGGAGGGCAGGGCCATCTACAACAACATGAAGCAGTTCATCCGCTACCTCATCTCCTCCAACGTGGGCGAGGTCGTCTGGTGAGCGCCCAGTGCCGACCAGTTCCGACCAGTTCGGACCAGTTTGGACCAGTTCGGACCCAGTTTGGAGAGGTCCCGGCCAGTTTGGAGCAGAGCTTGGAGATGTTGGAGGCTCTGAGGGGGTTTGAGCCCGGTTTGGCCCAGTTTGGACCGGTTTGGGCCGGTTTGGACCAGTTTTGTCCCAATCCCCTCCCAGTTTGTCCTGGTCCATCCCAGTTCCATCCCAGTTTGTCCCAGTTAATCCCAGTCCATCCCAGTTTGTTCTGCTCCATCCTGGTCCATCCTGGTCCATCCCAGTTTGTCCCAGGTCCATCCCAGTTAATCCCAGTCCCTCCCAGTTAATCCCAGTTTCTCCTGGTCCGTCCTGGTCCATCCCAGTTTGTCCCAGTTCCGTCCCAGTCCCTCCCAGTTTGTCCCAGTTTGTGCTGGTCCATCCTGGTCCGTCCTGGTCCCTCCCAGTCCATCCCAGTTTGTCCTGGTCCATTCCCAGTCCATCCCAGTTCCATCCCAATCCCCTCCCAGTCCATCCCAGTCCCCCATTAACCCCTCCCAGTCCCTCCCAGTTTGTTCCAATCCCATTCCCGGTTCATCCCAGTTCATCCCAGTTCATCCCAGTTCATCCCAGTCCATCCCAGTATGGTCCCAGTCCATCCCAGTCCCTCCCAGTATAACTCAGTCCATCCCAATCCCATTTTAACCCCTCCCAGTCCCTCCCAGTTTGTTCCAATCCCTTCCCAGTCCCCTCCCAGTCCCTCCCAGTATATCCCAGTCCATTCCAGTCCCATTAACCCTCCCAGTCCCATCCCAGTATAACCCAGTACAAACCAGTCCCATTAACCCCTCCCAGTATAACCCAGTACAAACCAGTCCCGTTAACCCCTCCCAGTATAACCCAGTACAAACCAGTCCCGTTAACCCCTCCCAGTCCATCCCAGTCCATCCCAGTATAACCCAGTACAAACCAGTCCCGTTAACCCCTCCCAGTATAACCCAGTACAAACCAGTCCCGTTAACCCCTCCCAGTATAACCCAGTACAAACCAGTCCCATTAACCCCTCCCAGTATAACCCAGTACAAACCAGTCCCATTAACCCCTCCCAGTCCATCCCAGTCCATCCCAGTATAACCCAGTACAAACCAGTCCCGTTAACCCCTCCCAGTATAACCCAGTACAAACCAGTCCCGTTAACCCCTCCCAGTCCATCCCAGTCCATCCCAGTATAACCCAGTACAAACCAGTCCCGTTAACCCCTCCCAGTCCATCCCAGTCCATCCCAGTATAACCCAGTACAAACCAGTCCCATTAACCCCTGCCAGTCCCATTAACCCCTCCCAGTATAACCCAGTACAAACCAGTCCCATTGACCCTCCCAGTATAACCCAGTACAAACCAGTCCCGTTAACCCCTCCCAGTATAACCCAGTACAAACCAGTCCCGTTAACCCCTCCCAGTCCATCCCAGTCCATCCCAGTATAACCCAGTACAAACCAGTCCCGTTAACCCCTCCCAGTATAACCCAGTACAAACCAGTCCCGTTAACCCCTCCCAGTATAACCCAGTACAAACCAGTCCCATTAACCCCTGCCAGTCCCGTTAACCCCTCCCAGTATAACCCAGTACAAACCAGTCCCGTTAACCCCTCCCAGTATAACCCAGTACAAACCAGTCCCATTAACCCCTCCCAGTATAACCCAGTACAAACCAGTCCCATTAACCCCTGCCAGTCCCGTTAACCCCTCCCAGTATAACCCAGTACAAACCAGTCCCATTGACCCCTCCCAGTATAACCCAGTACAAACCAGTCCCATTAACCCCTCCCAGTATAACCCAGTACAAACCAGTCCCGTTAACCCCTCCCAGTATAACCCAGTACAAACCAGTCCCATTAACCCCTCCCAGTATAACCCAGTACAAACCAGTCCCGTTAACCCCTCCCAGTATAACCCAGTACAAACCAGTCCCGTTAACCCCTCCCAGTATAACCCAGTACAAACCAGTCCCGTTAACCCCTCCCAGTATAACCCAGTACAAACCAGTCCCATTGACCCCTCCCAGTATAACCCAGTACAAACCAGTCCCGTTAACCCCTCCCAGTATAACCCAGTACAAACCAGTCCCGTTAACCCCTCCCAGTATCTTCCTGACGGCGGCGCTGGGCCTGCCCGAGGCGCTGATCCCGGTGCAGCTGCTCTGGGTCAATCTGGTCACCGACGGGCTCCCGGCCACCGCGCTGGGCTTCAACCCCCCGGACCTGGACATCATGGACAAGCCCCCGCGCAGCCCCAAGGAGCCGCTCATCTCCGGATGGCTCTTCTTCCGCTACCTGGCCATCGGAGGTGGGTCACACCTGGGCACCTGCTGGGCATCTTGGCCATCTAAGTCATCTTGGTCATCTGGGGTTGGTCATGGTCAGTTGGGTCATCTAGGTCAGGTAGAGGTCAGTTCGTGGTCACCTTGGTCAGGTAGGGGTCAGTTCATGGTCAGTTGGGTCACCTTGGTCAGGTAGGGGTCAGTTCGTGGTCACCTTGGTCATCTGGGTCACTTCATGGTCAGTTGGGTCACCTTGTCAGGTAGTGGTCAGTTCATGGTCAGTTGGGTCACCTGAGTCACCTTGGTCATTTGGGATTGGCTCGTGGTCAGTTGGGTCACCTTGGTCAGGTAGTGGTCAGTTCATGGTCAGTTGGGTCACCTGAGTCACCTTGGTCATTTGGGATTGGCTCGTGGTCAGTTGGGTCACCTTGGTCAGGTAGTGGTCAGTTCATGGTCAGTTGGGTCACCTGAGTCACCTTGGTCACCTGGGGTTGGCTCGTGGTCAGTTGGGTCACCTTGGTCAGGTAGTGGTCAGTTCATGGTCAGTTGGGTCATTTGGGTCAGTTTGTGGTCAGTTGGGTCACCTGGGCTCAGGTGGGCTCAGGTGGGTCAGGTTTGGCCCATGGACATCATGGACAAGCCCCCGCGCAGCCCCAAGGAGCCGCTCATCTCCGGATGGCTCTTCTTCCGCTACCTGGCCATCAGAGGTGGGTCACACCTGGGCACCTGCTGGGCATCTTGGCCATCTAAGTCATCTTGGTCATCTGGGGTTGGTCATGGTCAGTTGGGTCATCTAGGTCAGGTAGAGGTCAGTTCGTGGTCACCTTGGTCAGGTAGGGGTCAGTTCATGGTCAGTTGGGTCACCTTGGTCAGGTAGGGGTCACTTCGTGGTCAGTTGGGTCATCTAGGTCAGGTAATGGTCAGTTCATGGTCAGTTGGGTCACCTTGGTCAGGTAGGGGTCAGTTCGTGGTCACCTTGGTCATCTGGGTCACTTCATGGTCAGTTGGGTCATCTAGGTCAGGTAATGGTCAGTTCATGGTCAGTTGGGTCACCTTGGTCAGGTAGGGGTCAGTTCGTGGTCACCTTGGTCATCTGGGTCACTTCATGGTCAGTTGGGTCACCTTGGTCAGGTAGGGGTCAGTTCATGGTCATATTGGTCGTCCGGGTCGTGTTGGTCATCTGGGGTTGGCTCGTGGTCAGCTGGGTCATCTAGACCAGGTAGTGGTCAGTTCATGGTCAGTTGGGTCACCTGAGTCACCCTGGTCACCTGGGGTTGGCTCGTGGTCAGTTGGGTCACCTTGGTCAGGTAATGGTCAGTTCGTGGTCACTTAGGTCATCTGGGTCAGTTCATGGTCAGTTGGGTCACCTTGGTCAGGTAGGGGTCACTTCATGGTCATCTTGGTCATCTGGGTCACTTCATGGTCAGTTGGGTCACCTTGGTCAGGTAATGGTCAGTTCATGGTCAGTTGGGTCACCTGAGTCACCTTGGTCATTTGGGATTGGCTCGTGGTCAGTTGGGTCACCTTGTCAGGTAATGGTCAGTTCATGGTCAGTTGGGTCACCTTGGTCAGGTAGTGGTCAGTTCATGGTCAGTTGGGTCACCTGAGTCACCTTGGTCATTTGGGATTGGCTCGTGGTCAGTTGGGTCACCTTGGTCAGGTAGTGGTCAGTTCATGGTCAGTTGGGTCACCTGGGTCAGTTTGTGGTCAGTTGGGTCACCTGGGCTCAGGTGGGCTCAGGTGGGTCAGGTTTGGCCCATGGACATCATGGACAAGCCCCCGAGGAGCCCCAAGGAGCCGCTCATCTCCGGATGGCTCTTCTTCCGCTACCTGGCCATCGGAGGTGGGTCACACCTGGGGGGCACCTGGGGGGTCACACCTGGGGGGTCACACCTGGGGGGGGTCACACCTGGGGGGCACCTGGGGGCAGGTGGGCTCGGCGAGGGTTGGTTGAGGGAACTTCAGAAAATGACCTGGAGACACCAAAACACCACCTGGGAACTCCATAAAAGCCACCTTGAGACTTCCACGGAGGAGGTTCCTTGGGGAACCACCTGGAAACTCCAAAAAAACCCCTCTGGAGAATCCAAAGAACCGCCTGGAAACCCGAAAATACCACCCCGAGATTCCAAAAAAACACCTGGAAACTCCATAAAAGGCACTTTGAGATCCACATGGAGAAGGTTCCTTGAGGAACCTCATGAGGAACACCTTGAGAACCTCATGGAACCACCTGGAGACTGCAAAAAACCACCTTGAGATGCCAAAGAATCACTTGGAGAACCCAAAACACCACCTGGAAACTCCATAAAAGCCACCTTGAGACCCACATGGAGAAGGTTCCTTGAGGAACCTCATGAGGAACACCCTGAGAACCTCATGGAACCACCTGGAAACCCCAAAAAAACACCTGGAAACCCCAACAACCCACCAGTAGACCCCAAAAAACCACCTGGAGACCCCCAAGTTGTCCCCTTGGAGACCCCCCAGCTTGTCCCCAGGTTGTCCCCAAGGTGTCCCCAACCCCCCCTTTGCTGTCCCCCCAGGTTACGTCGGCGCCGCCACCGTGGGCGCGGCCGCCTGGTGGTTCCTCTTCGCCGAGGACGGACCCAACGTCAGCTACCACCAGCTGGTGAGCCCCAGGTGTCCCCAAGGTGTCCCCGAGGTGTCCCCAAGGTGTCCTTGAGATGTCCCTGAGGTGTCCACGATCTCTGGTGACCCCAAAATGTCCCCAAGATGTCCCCGAGATGTCCCTGAGATGTCTCCAAGATGTCCGCAAGCTCCGGTGACCCTGGGATGTCCCCAAGGTGTCCTCAAGGTGTCCCCAAGATGTCCCCAAGGTGTCCTCAAGATGTTCCCAAGATGTCCTCGAGGTGTCCCCACCCTGTGACCCTCCCCAGGTCCATCATGGAGGTCCCACCACCATGAGGAACCTTCGTGGTGGTGGTGGGACCTCCACGATGGTGTCCCCCAGCTCCCAAATGTCCCTTCCTGGACGTCCCCGAGGTGTCCCCAAGGTGTCCTCGAGGTGTCCCCAAGCTCTGGTGGCCCCGAGGTGACCCCGAGGTGTCCCCAAGGTGTCCCCACCCCAAGGTGACCCTCCCTAGGTCCATCATGGAGGTCCCACCACCACCACGAAGGTTCCCCCATCTCCCAAATGTCCCTTCCTGGACGTCCCCGAGATGTCCCTGAGGTGTCCCCGAGGTGTCCCCAGCCTGGTGGCCCCGAGGTGGCCCCGAGGTGGCCCCGAGGTGACCCCGAGTGTCCCGGTGTCCTCTCCAGACGCACTTCATGCAGTGCTCCGAGCACAACGTGGACTTCGAGGGCCTGGACTGCGACATCTTCGAGTCGCCGGTGCCGATGACGATGGCGCTGTCGGTGCTGGTCACCATCGAGATGTGCAACGCCCTCAACAGGTGAGGACACCATGGTCACCATGGTCATGGTCATCGTGGTCACCATGGTCATCATGGTCATCATGGTCACCTCTGTCATTGTCATCATTGTCATTGTCATGGTCATGGTGGTCACCATGGAGATGTGCAACGCCCTCAACAGGTTAGGACATGGTCACCATGGTCACCATGGTCATCGTGGTCACCATGGTCATCATGGTCATCATGGTCACCTCTGTCATTGTCATCATTGTCATTGTCATGGTCATGGTGGTCACCATGGAGATGTGCAACGCCCTCAACAGGTGAGGACACCATGGTCACCATGGTCATGGTCATCATGGTCATCATGGTCATCATGGTCATCATGGGTATCATGGTCATTGTCATTGTCATGGTCATGGTCATGGTGGTCACCATGGAGATGTGCAACGCCCTCAACAGGTGAGGACATGGTCACCATGGTCATGGTCATCGTGGTCATCATGGTCATCATGGTCATCATGGGTATCATGGTCATTGTCATGGTCATGGTCATGGTGGTCACCATGGAGATGTGCAACGCCCTCAACAGGTGAGGACATGGTCACCATGGTCATCATGGTCATCATGGTCATCATGATCATCATGGTCATTGTCATTGTCATGGTCATGGTGGTCACCATCGAGATGTGCAACGCCCTCAACAGGTGAGGACATGGTCACCATGGTCATGGTTATGGTTGTGGTCATTGTCATGGTCACCATGGTCGTGGTGGCCACCATGGAGATGTGCAACGCCCTCAACAGGTGAGGGACACCTTGGTCGCCTTGGTCATCATGGTCATCGTGGTCATGGTCATTGTGGCGATGTCCCCACGGTGTCCCCGATGTCCCCGATGTCCCCAGCCTGTCCATGAACCCCAGCCCAGGTGCCACCATGGGTGAACATCTGGCTGATGGTTCCTGTCCATCCCAATGTCCCCAGCGTCCCCGATATCCCTGATGTCCCCAGTGTCCCCAACGTCCCCGATGTCCCCAATGTCCCCGTGGTCACCCCGATGTCATCTCCATGTCCCCAGCCTGTCGGAGAACCAGTCTCTGGCGCGGATGCCGCCGTGGGTGAACATCTGGCTGGTGGGCTCCATCTGCCTCTCCATGTCCCTGCACTTCGTCATCCTCTACATCGACCCCCTGCCCGTAAGGGGACACCGCGGGGACACCGGCGGGGGGGGGGGGTGGCCTTGGGGACATCCAGGTGGTGGTCATTGGGTGGTGGTCATTGGGTGGTGGTCATTGGGGACATCCAGGTGGTGGTCATTGGGTGGTGGTCATTGGGTGGTGGTCATTGGGGACATCCAGGTGGTGGTCATTGGGTGGTGGTCATTGGGTGGTGGTCATTGGGGACATCCAGGTGGTGGTCATTGGGTGGTGGTCATTGGGTGGTGGTCATTGGGGACATCCAGGTGGTGGTCATCAGGGTGGTGGTCATTGGGTGGTGGTCATTGGGGACATCCAGGTGGTGGTCATTGGGTGGTGGTCATTGGGGACATCCAGGTGGTGGTCATCAGGGTGGTGGTCATTGGGTGGTGGTCATTGGGGACATCCAGGTGGTGGTCATTGGGTGGTGGTCATTGGGTGGTGGTCATTGGGGACATCCAGGTGGTGGTCATCAGGGTGGTGGTCATTGGGGACATCCAGGTGGTGGTCATTGGGTGGTGGTCATTGGGTGGTGGTCATTGGGGACATCCAGGTGGTGGTCATCAGGGTGGTGGTCATTGGGTGGTGGTCATTGGGGACATCCAGGTGGTGGTCATCAGGGTGGTGGTCATTGGGTGGTGGTCATTGGGGACATCCAGGTGGTGGTCATCAGGGTGGTGGTCATTGGGTGGTGGTCATTGGGGACATCCAGGTGGTGGTCATCAGGGTGGTGGTCATTGGGTGGTGGTCATTGGGGACATCCAGGTGGTGGTCATTGGGTGGTGGTCATTGGGTGGTGGTCATTGGGGACATCCAGGTGGTGGTCATCAGGGTGGTGGTCATTGGGTGGTGGTCATTGGGGACATCCAGGTGGTGGTCATTGGGTGGTGGTCATTGGGTGGTGGTCATTGGGGACATCCAGGTGGTGGTCATTGGGTGGTGGTCATCAGGGTGGTGGTCATTGGGGACATCCAGGTGGTGGTCATCAGGGTGGTGGTCATTGGGGTGGTGGTCATTGAGTTGGTGGTCATGGGTTCGGTGGCCTTGGGGACATGTAGATCATGGTCATTGAGGTGATGGTCATCGGGCTGGTGGCCTTGGGGACATTGGGGTGGCAGCCATGGAGTTGGTGGCCATGGGGTTGATGGTCATTGGGTGGTGGTCATTGGGTTGGTGGCCTTGGGGACATCAAGATGGTGTTCATGGAGCTGGTGGTCATTGGGTGGTGGCCATGGGGACATTGGCTGGTGGTCATCGGGGTGGTGGTCATTGGGCGATGGCCTTGGGGGCGTTGGGTTGGTGGTCATCAAGGTGGTGGTCGTTGAGTTGGGGGCCTTGAGGAACATCAAGGTGGTGGTCATTTGATGGTGCTCATTGGGTGGTGGCCATCAACTTAATGGTCATTGGGTTGATGGTCGTTGGGTGGTGGCCTTGGGGACATCAAGATGGTGGACGTTGGGTTGGTGGCCACGAGGGTGGTGGCCTTGGGGACCTCGGGGGGGTGGTCATTGGTTGTCATTGAGGGTGATGGTCATTGGGTGATGGTCATTGGGGTGGCGGTCATCAAGCTGGTGGCCTTGGGGACACTGAGTCGGTGGCCATCACATTAGTGGTCATTGGGTTGGTGGTCATCAAGCTGGTGGTCATTGGGTTGGTGGTCATCAGTGGTCATCAAGCTGGTGGTCATCGGGTTGATGATCACCAACATGGCAACCATTGACCTTGTCTTGAGTGACCACTGGGTTCAGTGACCACGGGTGGGCTCTGGTGGTCACTGAGGTCACTTTGGTGGCCCTGGGGTCACTTTGGTGGCCACGGCCATCGTGTCCACCCCAAGTATTGACCTTGGCTTGAGTGACCACTGCCTTGAGTGACCACGGGTGGGTTCTGCTGACCATGGGTGGACTCTGCTGACCACGGGCGGGCTCTGCTGACCACTGTGGTCACTCTGGTGGCCCGTGAGGAGGTCCGAGCCGTGTCCCCGGTGTCCCCAGATGATCTTCAAGCTGACGCCGCTGACGCTGACCCACTGGCTGATGGTCATCAAGATCTCCTTCCCGGTCATCCTGCTGGACGAGGCGCTCAAGTTCATCGCCAGGAACTACCTGGAGGGTGAGGAGATGGCCCCGTCCCACCGCCGTGTCCCCTCCCGACCCGCCGGGGTCACCTCTGCGGTGGCCAGGTGGCCTTGGTCATCTCCAACATCTCCTGGTCACCTCCATGGTCACCTTCATGGTCACCTCCATGGTTCATGGTCACCTCTATGGTCACCTCCGTGGTGTCCTGGTGACCTTGGTCATCTCCAACATCTACTGGTCAACCTCATGGTAACCTCCATGGTCACCTCCATGGTCACCTTCATGGTCACCTCCATGGATCATGGTCACCTCTATGGTCACCTCCATGGTGTCCTGGTGACCTTGGTCATCTCCAACATCTACTGGTCACCCTCATGGTCACCTCCATGGTCACCTTCATGGTCACCTCCATGGTTCATGGTCACCTCTATGGTCACCTCCATGGTGTCCTGGTGAGCTTGGTCATCTCCAACATCTACTGGTCACCCTCATGGTCACCTCCATGGTCACCTTCATGGTCACCTCCATGGTTCATGGTCACCTCTATGGTCACCTCCATGGTGTCCTGGTGAGCTTGGTCATCTCCAACATCTACTGGTCACCCTCATGGTAACCTCCATGGTCACCTCCATGGTCGCCTTCATGGTCACCTCCATGGTCCATGGTCACCTCTATGGTCACCTCCATGGTGTCCTGGTGACCTTGGCCATCTCCAACATCTCCTGGTGACCTTCATGGTCACCCCCATGGTCACCTCCTTGTCCCCTTGACCATCTCATGGTCATCTCCTGGTCACCTCCGTGCTCTGTGGTCACCTCCATGGTCACCTCCCCATCCCTTTGACCATTCCCATGTCCCCTTGACCATCTCCTGGTCACCTCCATGGTCACTTCATGGTCACTCCTTGTCCCGTTGACCATCTCCATGGTCACTCCATGGTCCATGGTCACCTCCATGGTTCCCTTGACCATCTCCATGGTCACTCCATGGTCACTCCATGGTCACTCCATGGTCACTCCCTGGTCCCCTTGACCATCTCCATGGTCACTCCATGGTCACTCCATGGTCACTCCATGGTTCCCTTGACCATCTCCATGGTCACTCCCTGGTCACTCCATGGTCACTCCCTGGTCACTCCATGGTCACTCCATGATTTGTGGTCACTCCCTGGTCACTCCCTGGTCACTCCATGGTCACTCCATGATTTGTGGTCACTCCCTGGTCACTCCCTGGTCACTCCATGGTCACTCCATGATTTGTGGTCACTCCATGGTCACTCCCTGGTCACTCCATGGTCACTCCCTGTCCCCCCGCTGTCCCCCGTGTGTCCCCTCCCCCTCTCATCTCCATCTTCTCGTCCCCAGCGTGACCCGGCCGGGGCCCGGCACCGCCCACAGGTACGGGGACACCTCGGTGTCACCATTGTCACCTGTGTGTCACCTGTGTGTCACCTGTGTGTCACCTGTGTCACCATTGTCACCTCTGTGTCACCATTGTCACCTGTGTGTCACCTGTGTGTCACCTGTGTGTCACCTGTGTGTCACCTGTGTCACCATTGTCACCTCTGTGTCACCATTGTCACCTGTCACCTCATTGTCATGGTCACCATTGTCACCTGTGTGTCACCTGTGTGTCACCTGTGTGTCACCTGTGTCACCATTGTCACCTCGGTGTCACCATTGTCACCTGTGTGTCACCTCATTGTCACCATTGTCACCCCATTGTCATTGTCACCTGTGTTACCTGTGTGCCACCGCATTGTCACCGTTGTCACCTGTGTGTCACCATTGTCACCTCATTGTCACCATTGTCACCTCAGTGTCACCGGTGTGTCACCATTGTCACCTCCATGTCACCTCATTGTCACCTCCATGTCATCTCCATGTCACCTTTGTCATTGTCATTGTCGCCTCAGCGTCACCTCTGTGACCTCATTGTCACCGCCCTGTCATGGTCCCCTCACTGTCACCTCCCTGTGACGTCATTGTCACCCGCATGACGTCATTCTCACCTGTCATTGTCACCTCCTTGTCACCTCCCTGTCCCCTACCTGTGACCTCATTGTCACCCCGATGACATCATTGCCACCATCACTGCGACGTCATTACCCGCGCACTGTGACGTCACTGTCACCACCCTATGACGTCACTGTCACCTCCCTGTAACATCATTGCCCCCCCTTCATTGTAAGCTCACCTCCCTATGACGTCATTGTCACGTCACATGACGTCATTGTCCCCTCCCTGGGACATCATTGTCACCTTATTGTCCCCTCCTTGTCATTGTCACCTCTAGCATCTCCTTGTCATCACCCTATGACGTCATCGTCCCCTCCCTGTGACGTCACTGTCCCCCTTCCCCCTCCTCTAACACCCGTGGGGGGAGGGGAGGGAGGGGGGGCGTGGCCACTCAAACCCCTCCCTCCAATGACATCACCACCATGACGTCACCCCTATGACATCACCACATTCGATGACTTCATCTTTCTCCCCTCTCCCCCCCCCCCACAGTGGACGAGCCCGCCCGGAAGCACCGGAAGTGACGATTTTGGGGACCCCGCCCCCATTTCAGGAGGGGGCGTGGCCAACACCTGCCCCTCCCCCACCCTCGCCCCTCCCCCCACCCTCACCCCTCCCCCAACCCCCCCAAATTCAAAGAGGGGGCGTGGCCAAAATTGGCTCCTCCCCCACCCCAAACCACCCAAAATATGGGAAAGGGGCGTGGCCAAAGCTGGTCCCTCCCCCACAAAGAACCCCCAAAATTCAGGGAGGGGGCGTGGCCAAATTCGGCCCCTCCCCCACCCCAAGCTCCGCCCCCTCGGGGGGTTTTTGGGGCCGCCCCCTGCAGTGGGGCCCCCCAAACCCCTCCCCCCAAAATTTGGGAAAAGGGGCGTGGCCTAAGTTGGTCCCTCCCCCAATTCCCCACAAGCCCCTCCCCCCTTATTTCCCCTCCCCACCCCCCAATTTTTGGGATTTTGGGGTGGCCCCGCCCCCAAATATCGAGAAGGGGCGCGGCCAATTCGGCCCCTCCCTCCTCTCCCAAGCCCCGCCCCTCCCCCACCCCCGGCGTCGCTTATTTATTGCCAATAAAGGGAATTTGCCCCTCCCCCACCCCCGAAATTTGGGGTTTTTTGGTCTTTTTTGGGGTGGGGGAGGGGCGGGGGAGGGGGGGTGAAAGGAGCTAATTGGGGGAGGGGCTAATTAGGGTGGGGCCGTCTTAATTAGGATGGGAAGGGGATAATTGGGGTGGGAGGGACTAATTGCGGTGGGGGGGCTAATTAGGGACGGGCTAATTAAGGAGAAAGGAGGGGATAATTGGGGTGGAGTGGCTAATTGGAGTGGAGGAGGGGCCAATTAGGGTGGGGAGGGGTTAATTAGGGAGGGGGGCTCACTGGGAGGAGAGAGGGGTTAATTGGCGTGGGGGAGCTAATTAGAGCGGCAGGCGGGGCTAATTAAAGTGGCGTGGAGCTAATTAGGGAGGGACAGGTATTAATTAAGATGGGAAGGGGATAATTGGAGTTGGAGGGACTTAATGGGGTGGGGGAGGGGTTAATTAGGGTGGGGCAGAGCTAATTGGAGGGGCCTAATTGGGGAGTAGGGAGGGGCTATAGGCTCCTGTAGTGTTCAGTGGGGGTTCTAGAAGGTTCTATAGGTTCCAGATGGTTCTAGAAGGTTCTATAGGGTTTCCATCGGGTTCCAGATGGTTCTAGATGCTTCTACAGGGTTTCCATTGGGTTCCAGATGGTTCTAGAAGGTTCCATAGGGTTTCCATAGGGTCCCAGGGGGCTCTATAGAGCTCTGGAGGGATCTGGAGGGTTCCTTGGAGATTCTAGAGGGTTCCCTAGGGTTTCTAGAGGGTTCTAGAGGGTTCCTTAGTGTTTCTAGAATGTTCCATAGGGGTCTGCAGGGTCTCCATGGGGTTCCCGAAGCGCTCCCGCCGCTCTCCGCAAGGGGGCGCCCCGCGCTCCCCTAAGCCCCGCCCATTTCCCCGCCCACCCCGCTCCGTCCCCGCCCCCTTCTCCCGCCAGGACCGTACCATCCCGCGTAGGCCTCGGAGGGGGGAGCTCCCCGCTCTCCCCTCCCCTCTCGCGGGTTGGTGGGAGGTGCCGGCCGAGGCTATAAAAAGGCTGGCGGGCGCGCGCGGCGCGCAGTGCCGGCGCCACGTGGAGCGGACGCGGAACGTCCGGCACCGCCATGGCCTCCAACGGTACCGGCGCCGCGGGGACCCGCAGCTCCTTCTTTCCCCGGGCAGGGAACCCCGAGCACCGGGGAGGGACCCCCAGACCCCTCCTTGCCCCGGGGGCGGGTGGGGGCTGCAGCGCCCAACGCGGTGTGGGAGCACCGGGGGGGAAACCTGAGGGGGTTCCGGCGGCCGCCGCGCTTAATACGGCGTTGGTTGTGTTGTTTTTAATTAATGCTCTTTGCAACGGTCATTTTGTCGTTAATTGGTGTAGTTAAGGCGTTGTTTCATTGTGGGTTTTTCGCCGTCAGCGCTGCTCTGGGGTTGTGTGTGATTTGCGCGCTGTGTGGGGTTTGATGCTGTCCCGTTTCCGCCGCGCCTCAGTTCTCTTTTTTTAATTCTTAAATTAATTTTCGTTTTAGTATTTCTCCTCATTACACTTACATCACTTATATTTTAAACCCAAACCGCAAATTTCGGGCGCTCTTTCGGGTTATTTTTCCTGCTAAAACCATCGCGGGTGGGGCGGGGGCCGAACAAAGCGCCGCGCCCGGATGCTCCTCGCCGGCAGCGGGGGAGGAAAATTAAGCCCACAGCCCCCAACTTTAACACAAAACTTGAATTTTTGGTGCAATTCCCAGGAATTTGTTTGGATTTTGGGGGAATTTCGGGATGTTTTAGGGGGTCCGGGACCCGCTTTTTCCCCCGCCCGCCATTTTGTAGTTTTGCCTCTGCGCCACGCCGCCATTTTGTGCGCGCGGCGCGTGCGCGGCGCCGCTGCCGCAGTGACACATCCGGGTTCTTCGTTAAATCTAATACAATCAAATCAAGTCGAATTAAACCAAATTTAATCAAATTAAGCAGGTATATCGAAAATTAACTCTAAAATTTAGGCTTTGGCCGTAAAAAAATCCCCCCACGGTTTTTTACCTGCGAGACGGGAAGTCGCCGCTGTGTGAGGGGGAGGATTCAGTTCCGCACTCTCCAGTGCGGATTTCTGAGGGAGAAGTAAAAGTATTTTAATGAAATCTAAAGTTTTATAAGTAAATTTGTGTTTTATTGTGCTGTTTATACCATTTTTGGGGGGGTATTTGGTTTTAAATTTAGTTTTTTACATTCTCCAAATATTCCCCCCCCCCCGGAGGCACGCCTTTTGTTAGGCGAAGCCTGAAGGGAGTTGAGAGTTTCCCTACACTTGAACAACGAAATATTAAATTTCAAAGTTTTCCTTTAATTTTATGTATAAATTATTTAATTCCTTCATTTTGTGAGGTTTTGGAGGCTTTTTGCCGTTAGAGCCATGTGCTTTCACACCCCGTTTTGTTATGTGGTGCTTGAGGGGTATTTAAACTCTTTCTTGCTGTTTCTTGTCGAAATCAATAAATTAACTTCATTATTGCTTTTTGTAACACAGAAATAATTAAGTTCGAGCTCTGCGTGCTTTTAAAGGGGGATATGTTGCTGTAAAAACCGGAATTTTAGACCCTTTTCGTTGTACTGAGCCTGAGGGGGCTTTAAGGCTTCACGTCCCTTTTCACACCTAAGTAGTAAAATCCATCTTTATTTTCCCTTTTTTACAATTAAAAACAACAAAATCTGCAGTGATTTGGGGGAAGCCAAGATAAATCTTTTTTTGGGCGGGAAATTTCACTCCAGCCGGCCGTTCGGTCCTTTTGGGTGATGAAACACCCAATTTTTCTTATTTGATGCTGAAATTTCGCTATTTCTGCCCGAACTAAAAATTACTCCACATCATCTTATTAAATTGATAATCAAAAAAGCCCTAATGCATTGGGGAAAATCTGTTTTTTGTATTTTATTCATTGAGTTGTTGTTCGTCTGGAAATAAACAGCGTTATGAATATTAGCACCTTATTTAAGTTATTCTTATAGTTTATGTTTTTTCTGAGTAATTAGCCCCAATTTTTAACCATTTCTCCCTGGATTTAATAAATGAGGGAAATTGATTTATTTTTAAGCAATTCTGATCAATTAACCCCAACTCTTTTCTTCCTGGTATTTAATAAATACTGGAATATATATTTATTTTAAACAAATTTTCTTGATGAACCCCAATTTTTAAAGCCCCTTTTCCCCAGGATAATGAACTATGGTAATTTTATTTATTTTGGGCGATTTCTGATTCATTAACCCCAATTTTAATCCTTTCCTCGCTTGATTTAATGAACTAAGGAAGATATAATTATTTTAAGAACTTTCTGCTTGAATAACCGCAGTTTTTAAGAGCTTCCTGTCCAGATTGAATAAATGTGGAAAAACGAATTTATTTTAGGTGATTTCTGATTGATTAACCTGATTTTTAACCCTTTCCTCCCTGATTTAATGAATTAGGAAAAGCGCATTTACTTAAAGCGTTTTTTGCTTGATTAATCTGAATTTTTAACCCTTTCCTCCCCAGACGTAGTAATTACAGAAATTTGATTCATTTTATGCAATTTTTACTTGATTAACCTGAATTTTTCACCCTTTTCTCCCTCAGATTTAACAAATTAGGAAATATAAATTTACTTTAAGCAATTTCTCATTATTAACCCCAGTTTTTAACCCTTTCCTCCCCAGATGTAGTATTCACAGAAAATTGCTTTATTTTATGCCATTTTTGCTTGATGAACCTGCACTTTTAACCCTTCTCCTCTCCAGCTGTAATAATTACAGAAAATCGATTTCTTTAAGCAATTTTGTTGGATTAACCCGAATTTTTAACCCTTTCCTCCCCAGACGTAGTAATTACAGACAATTGATTTGTTTTATGCGATATTTGCTTGATTAACCTCAATTTTAACGCTTTGCTCCCCGGACGTAATAATGCTAGAAAATATATTTCTTTTAAGCAGTTTTTGCTTGATTAACGCGAATTTTTAACCCTCCCTCCCCAGACGTAATGATTCAGAAGTTTGATTTGTTTTATGCGATTTTTACTTGATTAACCTCCACTTTAACCCTTCCCTCCCAAGCGTAATCATTTCAGAAATTTGATTGATTTTATGCGATTTTTACTTGATTAACCTCCACTTTTAACCCTTCCCTCCCCAAGTGTAATCATTTCAGAAATTTGATTGATTTTATGCGATTTTTACTTGATTAACCTCCGCTTTAACCCTTCCCTCCCCAAGTGTAATCATTTCAGAAATTTGATTTGTTTATGCGATTTTACTTGATTAACCTCCGCTTTTAACCCTTCCCTCCCCAAGTGTAATCATTTCAGAATTTGATTTGTTTTATGCGATTTTTACTTGATTAACCTCCGCTTTTAACCCTTCCCTCCCCAAGTGTAATCATTTCAGAAATTTGATTGATTTTATGCGATTCTCGCTTGATTAACCCGGATTTTTCACCCTTCCCTCCCCAGATTACAGCCAGACGGCGACCCAAAGGTACGGCCCCCCCTTCCTAACCCTTCCCCGCCCCTGAAATTCCCCATTTTTATTGGGAATTTGTCCCGAATTTTGTTTTTCCTCCTCAGTTACGGCGCCTACCCCGCCCCCCCCAGCCAGAGCTACGGGCAGGGGCGGGGGCAGAGCTACGGCCAGCAGAGCTACGGCGGCTACGGGCAGGGCTCGGACTCGGGGTACGGCCAGGGGGGGTACAGCTCCTCCTACGGACAGAGCCAGATCGGTGAGTGAGGGGAAAAATATCAAAATGTAAAATAATTCACAAAATCCCCGTGTTTGTATCCCAATGTACCCAACACTGAGCCCAAAACTGCCCCAGGGACTCGGGGTACGGCCGGGGGGTACAGCTCCTCCTACGGACAGAGCCAGAGCGGTGAGTGAAAATAAAAATGTAAAATATATAAAATAATTCACAAAAATCCCCGTGTTTTGTATCCCAATGTACCCAAACCTGAGCCCAAAACTGCCCCAGGACTCGGGCTACGGCCAGGGGGGGGTACAGCTCCTCCTACGGACAGAGCCAGAGCGGTGAGTGAGGGGAAAAATATAAAAAAATATCAAAATAATTCATAAAAATCCCAAAAATCCCCGTTGTTCTACTCCGTTGTATGCAAAGCTGAGCCCAAAACTGCCCCAGGGACTCGGGGTACGGCCAGGGGGTACAGCTCCTCCTACGGACAGAGCCAGAGCGGGTGAGTGAGGGGAAAAATATAAAAAATATCAAAATAATTCATAAAAATCACAAAGTCCCCACCCTTGGGTCCCATTGGAGCCAAAATTGGCGCTTTTGGGGCTCAAATTGAGCTGAAATTTGCCCTGGAACCTTCAAATGTGACCCTGAAACTGCCTGGGCAGAGCCAGAGACAGAGTGGCCCAAAAAATTCCCCGAAATTCTGAAAATTTCCCCAAAAAAACCCAAAATTCCCAAAAATCTCCATCCTTGTATCCCAATGTACCCAAACCTGAGCCCAAAACTGCCCCAGGGACTCGGGGTACGGCCAGGGGGGTACAGCTCCTCGTACGGACAGAGCCGGAGCGGTGAGTGGGGATAAAATGTAAAATATATAAAATAATTCATGAAAATCCCAAAAATCCCCGTGTTTGTGTCCCCGTGTACCCAAATCGGTGCTTTTGTCCCTTAAATCGGCGACTTTGACCCAAACTGGATCCAGAACTGATCCAAAACTGCCTGGCGCACAGCCAGAGCAGTGAGTGAGCCCAGAAAT